AATGCAAATCATTCATTAGGTAACTCTTGAGTAAAGCCAGTAAAATCTCATCACGCTTTTTGAATTTAAATGAGTCCAAAATCTAAGCCACCGGAAATTTTCAGTTGTAAGGGACCGTGAACGCATTTGAATAGAGGTAAACCAGACGCTTATGCGCGCTTGCAAGTAGCTCTACGGGCCTAATTTAAATAGAATAGAAGTTTGCAACTTAATATTATTTGCCTTTACTGGTGCCCGACTATAAAATCGGGATGGCATGGCTTGAAATTACGTTCAAAATGAACTTCCTGAATTATGTCCTGCTGATTTGTGTTCTAAGTGAGTTTGTATTACTTGGTAAGATGCACTTGCGTCCAAATCCTATGAGTGATTTGCAACACACGTAAATGTTCAAACGTCGTAAACTCGTAAGCTGATAACCGTAAACAGGCACGTAAAATCGCTTCTCCCGTGGTTGCAATGTAAAAATGTTCAATGCAAAATAATAAAGCAAGTAGGTAAATTACAACGGTTCTTGGTGCGGCGTCCTGAAACCTAGATTGCGCTCCTATCCTTGGTAAGCAGTAGGAAAGTATTAATATGTACGAGAAATAGACGCTAGAACAAATTATTCGATAACGAAGCATCTTAGGTTTATCTTGAAACATTTACGTTGAACGTCATTAACGTAGAGTAGTTAGTGAGAGTCGATGTATTTTGCAAATACATGACTAGGTCTTAGCTGTTTCTAGTCTAGGCAGCTTACTACCACTGGAAAGTTCCAATTTGGGGGGTGTTGTATACAGTTTTAACGGCCATTTTATTCATGTTGGTGTTTCTGGATATTTTTTAGCCATCCTAAAAAAACGAAGTGGCCGAAAAGGTTTAATTAAGGACAATTTAAATGGCATCTAAAGGTCACAAAATATGATTTTTAGCTATTTTTTCCTCCAGCAAGTTCTAATCGAAGTGCAACTACTCCAAATATCCTCTACGGCTCTTATAAAAACCTGGAACAACATCTTGTGGGTTTGCTTTATATGTGGCTGGGTTCCTAGTAATTTACAATTCTCCTAGTTAATATGTGTTTAAAGGGTCAGCTACCAAAGGGTTTCAGAAATACGTCTTCCGTTGGTTACTATGTAATTTAATGGGCAAAATGGATACATACAATAAATCTAGTGTGTGAACACACCGCCATCCAAAAACGTTAGAGAAGCGAATATCAAAATATTGCTTGCGTTATCTCCTTGTGCACTCTGAGTCGATTATGCTTTCAAGTAATACTCATTACGTTTTGAACTTGTATGAAATTTTCAAAGGTTTTCATGGACTTTTGATCAAACAGTCGAAGCGGACTTGCAATATTGTTCAAATTGGTAGACAACCACTCAGCTACGCATTGTTTTGTTTGTCGATGATATTTAAAGCTCATGACGTTGTATATTAAATTATTTGATGAACCGTGGATGAAATTAGGGAGTTATGCTTTCCTCTGGGAATACGAAGGCTACAGCCTAGTGTGCCCGGAAATACCGGCTGTTAGTATTTCTTATCTGGGCTTTTCAATAACGCCAAACATTGTTTCCCACTGCAAGGTACCTTTTCTTGGTATTGATCTCCTCAGAAAGTTTATTCTAAACGTTAATTTCCTAGGCGTGGAACGAGTACGAATATTTGCCTGCAAATAACATTTTACCAACAAAATGTAATCTGCCTTATTTCGGAAATTAAACTTATTCGAGTCGAGCAGTTAAACGAGAAATGTCAGTGTCATCTGCGGCACTTTTGACTGCCGGAGTTCCAGAATGATTTTATTGTGCTTTGAAAATGGACTGCTTGAATCAGTCCTTACAAAATTAGCGCTGGTTAAAGCATATAGCACCGAAAGTAAAATAGTATCCCCTAACAGTTGCACAACTGACCAAAACAAATTAAATTCTCCTTTATACGATTATTTACGCCATTAATAAGCCATGAAAGTCATGGCGAGCATAAAATGCATAAAATGCGGCTTTAAAAGTTCACAAAAACAATAGGCATTCTTTAAAACTTTAGTTACGCCACTGAGCTCTAAGAAAGGAAATCAAGGTGAGTCCAAAGTTATGTTCGTTTACTAAATGTTTCATAAACCGAATATTGTACCGTCTGTGGAACATTTTTCTACCCAAATTGCCATGCAAAACCAACATCTGCACGGGCGTTTGCTGTTGCAATTTCCTCATTACTTACGCATCATCTGGGCCAGAAAAGTAGTGTTACCAACATGCTGAGGATAAAATAGATTATTTTGTTGCGCATTTTGCATTTTACATGTTTCACACCATCGTTCATCATTACTGAATATAAAGTGTAATCAGCAAATCAAAGCGGCGTAAATTACAAACAAACGTAAATTACAATCATGCGTTTTATGTCAAAGTTACCCCAATGTTCTCAACCAAAGGTGACTGCCTTTCCTTTGATCAGAGAGACAGGGGTGAATGGCTACGTAAATATCAGCTAATCGTGTGCTTTGTTAATTTGTCATTTATTGTTTTATTAATACAAAATTGCTCATGAATGAGTGCAGGGCGTTATGTATAAATACTCCAATTTTCTTTAGGTGAGAGCGCCGGAAATGCATATTAATCTTTAAGAAATACATGCTCAGGAGCTGGTTATCAGGCGGAATAAAGATTTGTCCAACTGTAAAGTCCCTACGAGTAAACCTAAAAAATCGGAAATGTACTACTGCGCGCTGCCTGCGTAGAGAATAATATTTGCACATTACAATGTGAGAAGGCTAATGCTTCATTTGGACGACACAAGTTCCTTATCAAGAATTTGTCATACACTTACTTGGCTTGGATATGCCGCTGGACGTTTGCCACTGGAAGTTTGACAATAGTGCTAGCGTAACATGGGTTTCGGCGGACCCGTGGTTTGTAAAGTGCTCACACATAAGAAAAATTGGCGTCACTGGGTCATTTCACCGTGGTATGCAAACCCATAATTGAGATTATTTAACAAACCAAAATAATGGCGGCTCATCTTTATTCGGAAAACCTCTTTACAAAAGATAATGATAAACTTGAGCGTGAACTCAAGAAGTAGAGCGGAGCTTTTTTTAAATTCTTTGAAGGTGCCAGAATGTGTAAGTGTTTTTGTATCTTATTCATGCATATACATTAGATGTCTTTTATATTAAAGTGTACTGTGGAACCGCTGCTTAAGTCAAGCGAAAAACTTCTCGCTTATAAATGTTGCTTGTAAAACATTTTCATATTAGAAGTTTGTCTACACAACATTTTGGCTAATACTTATCGATGCAACGATGTAATCGCGAAATCCCCCAATTATTCTCGGGTGAAACCAAAAGTAGTAAACAATGCGCGCGTTTTTAAAAAGAACTTTTAGCTAAATTGTTGTTAAATTTGCAGTTGTGATCTAGAGATAATTTTATTTTTACATCGCGATAATCTAAGACTCTTATGATGGTAAGTCGATCAGCAATCGAACAGTTTCCTTTATGTTTTGTAAACATTGTTTTCAGCGCATGAATATAGAAAGATTACGGTCAATCAGTCAAAAACCTTTGTTTTCCCAATATTTCGCAGTGAAAATAGAAATGTGTCAAGATGTGCAGCCTCTTGGAAAAGTCCCAACACTCCGATCGTTTCTCTGATCAGAAAAAGAAACGTACTACAATTGGTAGCTGAAGTATCCCCAAATCGATTTTGTATGGAGTTATTAACTATAAGAATGTAAAGGAATTTCTCATATTGTCTTCACTTTCGGTTTTTTAGAGAGTGACAAGGACCGAGCATTCCGTGAGATGTTCCTGTGTGCTCGCAAAATATCTGACTGATTATTCCCTAATTGCCTTGTGTTTTCTCTAATAACTTTTTAACTACTAACAAGTACTAAATCGGTATCGAGGCAAATTAAGTTCTTTGGTTAGGTAATGATTATCAAATCAAACAGACGTTGAGTGTTCATTGAAGATTGAATCTTGTGTTTTCTCAATTACCCGTTAAAAAGAGTTATGAAGCTTCTAGTGAAGATCATCCTATGCAATTATCGCTTACCATTTGGGCATTGTGTTCACGATTAAACTTTTTATCACAGCACTGCCTTATGGCACCGGGCCCATTCCGAGCGGTAAGCAAGAAGGAAGTGAATGAAACAAGCAGTTGTAATATTGGTCAGGTTCTTGCGTACTCTATCATGAAATTATGCGCATTTGTGGATATTATTCGCCAACCTACGTCAAACGAAGAAAGAACGCCTGACGATTCCATTGGTACATTAGCTGCTGTATTGCTTGAGGGAGAAAAGACGCCTTGTGCGAATTGTGTCAATAACGGCTGTGTTGTGTCGGATCCTGACCACAAGCGAACCATGTTCAACCGAATGCATGCAGACGTTTATGCGATTTGTGATTTCAAGTCCTAAAGGGGCTCAGCAATAAAGATAAGTCTGCATGCAAATTGGAAACAGCCGCAAAGAAATAATTTTGCGCTACCCTTGAAAAAAATTGGGACCAAATATTCACAAAGCGACGTTATCGAAATAGTCCTTGATTACTCTAAAGCTAGTTCAAATAAGACACACAATGTGCGCGACAATTTACAAGGTTTTAGTGATGGTGAACTCAACAAACGAGTTTAAATTTGTGACAGTAGTGACGTTTTGTAAACTCACAATGCAATATTTCTCGGGCTACTGGCAACAGAACATCTACGTGCGACATTTGAATTCAGACAGCTTAGATTTCGAATCGCTGTGGCCATTCCTCAAGGCTTCAAACACCGTGGTATAATCTGCCGGGCATTCCTTCGCGCGCCAATAATTCAGTATTTTGAATTTCTTGAAATTGAGCAAACAAAGCTTTCAAAAATACATTACAAATATCCCGCGACTTGAATGCTTGCACAGTGGTCTAGTGTGTATGAAGTGTTAAAAATCCCAAATTATCTTTAAACTCATATGATATATAGAGCTGAACATGTAAAAACAGATAGGAGTTTATCGTTTACCATTTGTTGATAGAGCTTGCCCCAGTTTGACTGAAACGAAAAGAAAAGGCATTTAAATATAGATTTCTGTTATTTTTTCATTACATATGAATTGTACTTGTGAGTTAATTAGGGACTCTATTTTAGGTGAAAGGACAGCCAGTAAGTTTTGGGATATCATGTAGGAGAGGAGACGACATAAAAATTTTTGGGTAAAATCCTGGCTTATAGTGGCGGCTGCAAAACGCAAAACAGAAAAAATTTTAAAGTTTTAAATTCTTCCAACCATACATCCCAAATTCACTTAGGATGGTATCAAGTACTAAAATCTCTAGCACAAACCCTACCAAACCATCAAAACGTGACTGCAATTGGGAAAATAGTTGAATTGTTCACATGAAAACGTTTGTTTGTTTCCTAAGCATCATTTATTAGCGCCATTTGAACTATTCGTTTAATGTTGAATCATTGTTGGACTAGTAAGCGCGGCTTTACATTGCTCACACTCATCCAAAATCATTTGCGTTGTACGTTAAACACAATACCGTCTAGTGAAACGCAAGATTAAACTCAGTTTTTGGAAGCAGATGTCTTATGTGCAACTATCGTTTGTAAATTTCGGTGATGAAATTTTGCGCTTAGCTTTTCGTTGCACTCTTGAACTGCAGTGATGTCTCTACAAGTAATACACAACATCACTGACATGCCGACATACCGTCACCGTGCAAATTGGGTACTACTAGTTTTGTTTCAAGTAATAACAGGGTCACTTTTATTTATTGTGCATTTGGGTTGCCAAAAAAATCATACATATTTCTTCCGCAAAATCTTTGAGCGCAATTTTTTTCCACAGGGGCCACGACAATGACTTCTATATTATAAGTTGCTTTAACGCCTTATGACTCAGACTTTATCCAAGATTGTAAATGCTCAAACACCCATCTTTGAAAGTTATGAGATTCCGCGTACAATCACTGCAAATTCACTTTATAAATTGAATGACACGGAACGAAACTTCCATAAGTTTATTCAGCTAGAAGCCTCGCCAAATTAGCCTGTTCGCCTTTTTACCCCATCCCTTCTACTCAACTGTTTGTGGTATAATGTGTGACCTCCTGCACTTGACAAAAAGCTTTGTCCCAATATCAGGTGTACATAGCCAATTGTAGCTGTCGATTGCAGCTGCCAGTGCAACCTGCGAGGAACTAATGCTACATTTGCCCGGGTCAGTATTTGTAGACTCTACACAGGTCAGCTTTACTGATATTGCATGTGTGTGGACATTAGTGTGGAATTATTTTGGGTCATGCATTTAGCGTAAACAGTTTGGTTAAATGTGTAGTAATAATTATTCCAGGTTCACCCAGAGCTTATAGTTTGCCGTATGTTAGATGCTTTGATTCAATTTTGAAGAAATATGAACCACAACCTCATATTAATGTTTAAAGCCAAATACCAGAAATGAAAGCCCAAAAGGTAACATTCGCCTCACTGTGAAAAGTTAAGGAGCGTCGTTACACTCACGTGTCTCAAGTAACTGATTTTGGCTAATGCTGATGACTGTTAGAATTGAATGATTGCAAACACATATGGACCACAAGCTCTAGCTCCCACAATATGATGTAGCGGCATTCTATCCTTGCGGATGTTCAGCTTTAGTGCCAATTTTCCTTCTGATGGTAACGGAGAGATATTATAACATGTTTTTTCTCTATTTGGTTTGTTCTTTAAAATAGCTTTGTATACACTGCAACCAAACACAACTGGCTTTAAGTTTCCCATTGCACAGCAGAGAATATATGAGTAGAACGATCCATACTTAAGCCAGACAACTGTGGTAGCTGTTTTAAAACTTTGTTAATTCTACTCCTAACTTCATTCATACAAGTGCTATGTGTTGGTCGAACATGTGAGTTTTATTTGATTTTTTATTGAATAAGTTAAGCAATGTCTTTCTAAAAGAGGTCATTTCGTGTTCACCAAAAATGCAGCACTAGCGGCATTTGGCTTGATAAACATATTAAAGCTAGAAAAAAAAGCACACTGCTTCCTTAGATTTGTCTACAACTTTGACGAAGATGAAATAATTGATGGTGCACAGGAAAAGAACTACTCAGCATAGCTCACTTCGTAGCACTATTCATACTGTTGACAGAGATGGATCATTTTTATTGCACCCATATGTATCTTTTGTGCTAGTTTTAATTTGCAAAACAACCCATCCTCTCCACGTTGCTGCTAGGTTTTTATAATAAACTTCGTCTTAATATTATTGCCTTTCGTAAATTGTACCTCAATATATTTTTACAGGCTTACCGGAGCCACCACAATGTGCAATGTGGTGGAGTGAGTTGACCGAAGCACTACCCTGGTTTTATTAGTTTGTACAACAATATAAAAAAATATATTCGTCCAGAAACCTTTGCGTCATTCTGAACGTATTTGTGTTTCCAATTAAATTTTTAGAACTGCTGATATGGGCGCTGTACAATGTGAGAATTTTGTGCACAGCTTTAATTACTTCTGACGTTATGGTTGGACTGCCTTTGAAATTTTATTTTTTTTTGCCGTAGAACAAAAGGACAGACAGCTGTCGTTTGAAAAGACTTTTCACCCGATATCACAACAGAAACAACAATACAAGCTTCAGAATTCTTGAAGTTACTTATAACTAGAAGAGCCCGCAAGCTAAGGTTTACTGTTTCTTTCTCTTCATTGATGTTCCTCAAATTCAGTGGTTGGGATTCCTCGTAAAACTTATGTAAGTCGCTTGTTTTGCACACATTTCAAACCGTTTGAGCCGCTGAATGATACAAACAGGTTTTCCGGAAAACAGCAAGCTATCATTATTGCGAAGATATACTTGCTCTCAGAGGGTACGACTGATAAGCTTTTTTTGCACGTCTAGTGACAATGTATTATGAGTGAATCCAATTTTATAAACACCGGTAAAACACGCATATATTTTTAAGTTACAAAAAATTCTATTATTAATTGCTTTTGCGACTGCATTATTATTTATCAAGTGAGCGGCAGTTTCCCGAATGGGTTGGTTCTCTTCAAAACTGAAAATAACCAGATGCAAAAGACTACGCCATCAAACATCATCGTTTACATCTAACATCAACCAAATGGTGAAAACGGATTCCCAACCAATTTTAAATTTTTGAATAACAAATTGAAACTTGTGGAAAACCAATTACTTTGAATACATCTTCATTTCTTATCATGCTTACAACAACTTTTTATGCTAGTGTGCACAAGATGCATGCGTTTAAGGGCGTCTGTGAGTCTTGATGAGGATGTATTAACCGCGAATTATACAGAAATAAATTTTACAGGCATTTATTCAAGTTATGGGCAAGTTGTTGCCAAGATGTCAATTAATCACTTTTGGTCTACTTAGTATAGAGATGCTAAAAGAGACAGGTAATGGAACCTAATCACTTTTGGTCTACTTAGTACAGAGATGCTAAAAGAGACAGGTAATGGAACAATTCACTTTTTGGGACGGGTCTGCGAAATGACCTTGGATCCAAGGAACTACAAACGTGCGCTCAGCAAACAGTAGCCTCTGTCTATTAAACTCACAATAGTCGGTCAGCTGTGAGATATTGCAGTGTAGGCCGTGATCAATTAATATCTGGTCCTTCAGGAACAGCTTATCCTCTGATGCCTAAGCTGAATCTGTTGCAGAAGTACTGAAGTACCAATAAAATGATCACCTGGTCATTTTGTAACTGTTCCACTTTGAATACCACATGCATTTTGTCTTGAATACCTGTAGCAATGAGTAGGGTCAGCGTGTAAACCACCTTAGTAGGTTTACAATTCCTCAATAAGACCAGACATTATGTTATGTCTACTAACTTTAGAACTAACAGATTTATTTGCAAAAGTTTGGACTGCGATTTGATGCAGAACGTCTCTACAATGGCAAAGAAAGTATTTCACGAATGTGCCTCAGTAAAATATTTATCGAACATTATGGATATTTCTGTCAAAATGTATATAATTTTCAATTTGGCGCGCCTGAGCTTCTACAGAAAGTGTAAAATATGTAAATAGGATCGAATATCCTGATGTAAGAAGCATTAGTTCAAGGATATAAAAATGGATCTGCCGTCTCAAAGAGCGCTCAAAATTAGCACACGAAGTTTTTGGTGGATATGGTTTTTTATTTTGTAGCAAATTATTTTAGTGAAATCATTCAGCGGGTAGTTGTAAGCACCCTTCTATTGACAGGAAGTAGGTTGTATCAGAAACACGCGCAAAAAATTGATTACCGCCATTTATGACGAAAAACAAGGTAAGCACTTGCCCAACTACCTTGCTTTGAAAAGTTCAGCCATTTCCAGATTTTTCGATAAGGCGTGGGTCATAGATTAGTTGACGGCCAAACAGAAACTTTGGGTTTCGCCTCGCTAAGGAAAATGATATACAAATTTTTAGACCCACAAACAGTGAAAAATAATTTCGACAAATCTGAAGTTGTCACACATTAACTAATTTTTCCAAAGCTAGAAACTGACGTCAACTGCAATGAAATTTACTGCCAGTTTGCTTACTCATATTTTGAAAATGCTATATGTTGAGTGGCTAATTACAACTGCCGTAAAATCCGACGAAGGTCATCCCATCGATTGCTTGATCCCGAAAAACCCAATAGGCAGAAAAACTCCCGGAAACATTTTTTAATGTTCATTGGAATTAATAAACAAATGGTGTGCGTTACCAAATAATTCCTTCCATGTGCAAAGGACGTTAAGCCGAGGCACATTATTAGGAACAGAACGTGATCGTTCAAAATAGGTTTCTATGATGCCCAACTTAGTGGAACTCTTGCAAACGATGTGAATAAAGCAATAAGCAAAACCCGTCATCTTACGTTTCATGGAGCCATGCGGTGGATGATTAAAAGTGTCAATAGTGTTTGTAAGCCTCAAAATAAAGCAAGACCGAGGACCGTTGGATGTTTAGTGGTGGCTTAAATCTACGAATGTAGGAAACGAAACTGTTTTCGGCGGTTTATGTAACTCGTCAGTACACGG